ACTTGCCCTCTCACGGAGTAATAGCTGAAGCGCTATTAGCTGCCAAGACACCAAAGAGTGTAATTAAATTAAATAACCCAAACGCTATAGCAAAGGAAGTAATCAAAGGATTACATTGCTGGATACTGCCACAAAACGAACTAAAATAGTAGTTTAACCAAATCCAAGAGATTTGTGTGAGATACGGATTTTGATCTCACAATATTCACTAGCTCTTGGTGCATGATATTGCTTTTTGGTGTAGCAGGTGGATGCCCAGTTGAAGTTTTTGAACAAAAACACACATATATTAGTGGGTAAGATTTAGCAAGCTGGCAAACAGCCCTAGTTTTTCCATAACCAGATGATTGAATGACTGGCAGATAATTAAAATAGCCTTCTGAATTAGTAATTACATTCAATTGTTCTTTCAGTTCACATATGAAATCATCATTGTCTTTATAATCAATGCTGAAAGCTCTGCTTAATTCTAATGAAAGTAATAAATTAGTGTTAATGGGTAATAACAAATGCTTTAAAATTATACAAAAAAGACTAGCATCTGATTACAAGCCTTTGGTTGTGAAAAGAGGTTCCCAACTCATACTTTCAATTCCTGTAAAGAAAAACAACAATAGTGAGAGAAGTAGTAGTGTAGGTTTGAAAACATAAGAATTATCAAAAGTTGCTTGATAGAAGCAGCAGAAAGAAAAAACCACAAGTTAGTTAAAGTTGTAAACGGTATATCAAACAAATAAATAAAACGAAATGTAATGAACAAAAAATAATTTTTTTTTACACAATTTGTTTGTTACCTTCTCCTTCACCAAATTCAGCTAATTTATTTTGTAAATTAATTGTTTGGTTCTTCCAGTCTTGCTCATTCTTTACCAAACTCTCCTTTTCTTTGATCAATCTCTTTATTTGTCCTTCCCACCTTTCCTTCTGTTCTTTGTTCTTATATTCTTCATTGTCCAACTTCCCCTCCAACTCATTCAACTTCACCTCCCATTCTTCCAGCTTCTTCTCCGCCTTCTCATGCTCTTTTTTTGCATTGTTTAATTCTTGTCTAATTTCTTCAATCGTTGCCATTTTTTAAAATTAAAAAATTTAACAATTAATTTAGATCGTAATTGTTATGCATAATTTCGACCAATGATAAATTAATGGGCACATGACTTGGAATTTATTTCATGAAAAAAAAATTCATTATCAAATCATGTTGAACAGATGTCAAATATTATATTTACTTATAAAAGTATAGGTTGTTAAATTTGCCAGTTTTCTGCTATTTAATGAGCATATTGGATTATGATTAAGGTGTCTTTTTTTCCCAAATTATGCTTTTACGCGGTTATAATTTTTGGCAAATTTGAGAACAATACTGGCCAAAATTAAAATACATAAAATTTAATTTTTTTCTTTTAAAGCTTTTATAATTTGAAAAGGACCTTTCCACATCAACACCAGATCATACATGTTAACCAAAATTGATTTTGCATTTGCCAAATATTTTGGCAATACTCTGGCTTTTACATATTCCCTATATTAATAATGGTCATAAAAAACCACCCAGAGTTTTGGCTATTGAATTAGAATTCAAATAATTTGGGATATAATTTTGGCCACCATTAAAATTAATTTGGCTACTATGAAAAACTATTTTGGCATTTTGAATTTGGCAATGATCATTTACTAACAAAGTAATTTTGGCCAACATGCATGCACCAGATATAATTTTATTTTTCACTATTGTAGTGGGTCTGTTTAGAATTTACTTCTAATTCATCTATTATTAAAATTGATACTGGGGCTTCCAGTTAACTTACTAGCCAAAATGTTGCACTGAACTTATTTTAAAAAAAAAATTTCAACATAGTTCAATAGCTTTTAACTAGAATAATAAATTGATTTACATTTTTTTTTCTCAAAAGTTACATGAAATTTAACTTATGTCAATTTTAAAAAGACCAATTTTTTTGGATGTATTGCTGTGACATGCACTGTATACATTTCAAATAGTCATAAACATTTCAGTGATAAATATCACTTTTACTTTTGATCAGAAACTCTAAACCGGATTTGGACAGGGGTTACAATTTTTAGTATTGTATACAAATTCGGTAATGATTTGCTTCACAAAATTTTCCTGCATTTTTTTCAGATAATAATAATAAAAATTATACTCATGGAAGACCCTGAAGCAGACACAGAATGGTAAATGTTTTTCAAATTCTCCTTGATTTATTAATAAACAAATTAATGGTTATAATAATTGTGTTATGTGAAATAGGAATGATATTTTACGTGCTCGTGGTATACTTCCACCAAAATCAGGACCAACAGAAGAAGAAATATTTGAGGAACTTGATAAAGAAATTCGAGATAAACATGATAAACATTTAGAAGATAAAAGTCTAGAGGAACTTGATGAATTGGAAGATGAAGAAGACGAAAGAATTTTAATGGAATACCGGTAAATTCTAAATAAAGCAAAGTAGCTAGTAGTGATAGTAGAGATTAATAATGATCTATACTATTATTATTATTGTAATTTTAAAATTTTTTGGTTTAGTAAGAAGAGAATAGCTGAAATGAAAGCTGAAGCAATTCGTGGAAAATTTGGACAAGTTATACAAATTTCTAAAACAGATTTTGTTAAAGATGTCACAGAAACTAGTAAAGAAGCACCAGTGGTTGTACATTTATTTAAAGATCCGTGAGTGTAATAATGATGATAATTATAATTATGATGATGATTTAATACAATAATTTAACACAATGAAATAAGGTTCAAATATTAATTATTTTATTTTTAGGATTGTAGAATGTAAATTATTAAATAAATATTTAAATGATTTGGCAATAAAATATAAATCAACCAAATTTGTAAAAATAATTGGAGATCAATGCATACCAAATTATCCTGATAAAAATCTACCTACTTTATTAATTTATCATAATGGAGATTTAGCACAACAATTGGTTGGATTATCAACATTAGGTGGTATTAATATGAAATTAGAAGGTATGCATGCACTAATAATAATAATATCATTTGTCATATTATCTAACTAGTTCAATTAATTTATTATTGCTTGATTGATTGTTAGATCTTGAAGCATACCTTTCGTCAGTGGATGCAATTGAAGAGGTGTTAAAATGAAAAATTTCTTGTAATAAAATGAAATTAAATCTAGATATGTTTGATGGGAAAAAGATTACACAAAAAGCACACTTTGCTTGTATTGATATAGTCCTTACTGAAAGTTTTTTTATTTTTATAGTCTAATGAAATGTCTAAAACAGATAATCAATGATTTAAGGGTATATTTAAATATTAAAAATAGTTATTGATCTAGCAAACAAGCCTGAAGGGGAAAACACTAAATCTTTACATTTGTCAAATTGGGTATCATATTCTGAACCAATTTGATATCTATTTAACCAATAGTTGGTTTGTCAATTGGTATCAATTGATGGCGGGAATTAGTTTCAATCTGTCTTCTGATTTGTATTAATAGCCCTTTTATCAATCAGATTTCATCAAGTTATCAATAAGATATCCAATTACTTTTTGAATTCAATCAATGCATATAAATGCAATATTACAAATTTATTATGTTAAATTAATCTCATCAAATGCTAATTAAAAACACTTAAATAAAATTCTAAAATTTGCCATATATTTTACCTAACATATGGATTGACATTTCCACTGTCAAATTTTGGTTTGGACAAATAGAAATATTATTTATTTTATATATATTGAAAATGATCTTTGCCATGTACCTCTCTTATATATTCATTTTAAAGAAAAGACTAATCATTTAACAATAAATACAAAGCAGTATACATATTTCTTCTGATATTTTTTTTATCCTTGATAGTTAGTTGTGTAACAACACTGTTTAATAATAAATACGCACAAAAAAATTAAAATTCCAATGGCTGTTTTACATATGATTTTGTCAAAATCCAATTGTTATCATGAACTGTGAGTAATTATAATTTTTGATAATTGCAGGAACAATACATTTTTTTTCAGAAATATTTAGTAATAAAAACCAAAAAGATATAACAAAGGAGAGATGTGAATTTTATAATTATAATAGTGATATATAGTTGTAAATCGATCATAATAAATAAATAAACAAATAAAAACATACAAATGAAGCATATAAAATTTTTTTTTGCCAAATGTTTTTTATCAGCTATATTTTTTTTGTCATTTTATATTTGAATATATTTAATTAAAATTTGACAACAAAAAAAATCAACAACACTCGCACTCTCCATTTGTGATCTTTTGGTTGGATCATTAATCCAAGTAATGTTTTAGAAACTGTTTCAGATGTACCAATCATTGGTTTTAGCACTGCTACAGGAACTGCCCTGATAACAGCTTTAACTGTTCCTTGAGTTCCTGTTTTCTCATATATTCGTCAGTACTGCAAATATTGTGTGAGTTGCTGCTCTGATATTCTGTCTTAAACTTTAATAGGCAGCTTCAATTCCTAATAATTATAACAATAAATAATCATTATATTATATATTTAATGTTCAATTATAAACGTAAACTAATGATATTCATTTAAATAGCTGGTGGATCGGCATATTTACTTATAAGTTCTTTATCATCATCCTCTTCTTCGCTATGATCATCCAGATCTTCACTAACATTTCTATCGTTTGTTCCTAGTTTTATTTCAAAAGAAAGAATCTCATCTGCATATTCCAGTAAAATCTGTGTGCCAATTGCAAGTTTTGTTCCAAAATTAATAGCCTCCATAGTTGTTGCTATTGTAAATGATTGTGTACCTTTCTGAAGACCGTGATTAATGAAAAGTATTTTAAATATTTTTTATTATGTAAATTTTTGAAAAACATGAGAATACCATAAACATTTCATTTGTTTTTAATTAATTAATAAAGTACTAGAAATACAAAAAAATCAAATTTTATATGAAAACGAACAAGGACCTGGGCTATTTAATGTTAAGATTTTATGTATTTCTATTATGTAGAATTTTGCGTAATTAACGAAAAATATCGTTCACAAACTTTTGTCAGGATAGTGTAAATTTACTTTGATATCATTAACAACAAGATTTTGAGATATCTGTGTAGAAAATCAAATTGTTCTAGTGTTATCAATTAAAATATGTAATATTTAATATATATGTATAGATATATACATAAAATACGCAATTAAAAATACATATCCGATGTATAATTATTATTTTTAATATAATATAGGAAAACTTGAAATAAAATCTATGCAAAAATCTTGTAAAATTTTTCTTTAAAATGATCCATAACCATTTGAAAACCATTTAATACTTCTTTTTCACTGTGAAAAATTTTTTTTTGTTTTTCCTTTTCTTCTTCTCTAATCTGAAGTGAGGTTATAATCGTTTGTAAAATAGCATTAAAATCATTAAGAACCTATTTGCGTTATAATATATATAGTAAACAGATGATTAATGATTATGTGTGCATATATGCTTATAAAAAAACTTAATATTAAAAGTCTTATTTTACCTGCCAGACTTCACCGGGCCTAATTCCGTTTGCATTTATAAGTGTCTCTTGTTGCCCATGACTAAAAAAATCACACAAATATGCATTTAATTCTATGTCAGTCTCAACGTAAGGAATACTATAGGAATCAATATAGATTTTGCTATGAATATGATTAGACAAATCATATATGCTGGAAAACTTATCTCCTATTGAACCAGACATAGCCATAAAAGGTGATCTGGCAAAATATGGAATTGCAATAGATTTCAAATAAGAAAATAAAGGATCAGTTGTTATCGTTGATTCTGGCAATTCACGTGATGAAGTTTTGAGTTTTGATAATGGCAACATATCGTCAAAGCCTAAGTCTGAGTATTTTTGTTTAGCAAATGTTGCCACATATTCGGTATAAATATTTAAAACACGATTATTATGTTCTTCCAAGACACGTTTTATTTTCTCAGGTAATGGTGGCAAAAATATTTTAGAAGGATATTTTCTTAATTGCTCTTTATAATATTTATGAGATATATTTCGTAATTTTATTCTCTTAAATAAACATGCCATAACAAGCATCAGATCATTCATCACTTTGTTGCTAAGAGAACTAGGCGAACCTTCTATAAGACCTTCACATATTTCATGAAATGTGCCATGCTTAAATAATACAGCAAATGCAAGGTTACTAGGTTCTGTATAATATAAATGCGTGGCAATTCCCGCCAAGTTAATAAGTTGACCATTTTTATCCAATAAACTTTCTCTCATCAGATATTCAATCGAAAAACGTAAATGATGTTTAATCTGTTCGGATAAATGCTCTTTGCCCAAACAAAAAAATGATTCGCCAAGTAATCCCGACATTGCTTTTTCTGCATAATTTTTATCTATTGCTTGCGTCAACAAATTACAACTTCTCAAAACCAAGGTTGTTGTTAATGGAAAATGGCCAGTTAATTTTGGTAACCCAGACATAAATAATCTTGTAATTTTTGTTGAAGTAATCGCATAAAAAACTATATTGCCAAATGAATCAAATCCTCTTCTGCCACTTCTACCAGACATTTGTCGATATTGAAGCGCTGTCAAAAATACAGAATCTCCGCAGAATACTGCTGTTCTACATGGCATATTAATACCTAAAACACAATTTATTGATTAATTTATTAAAATATATATAAATTATAAGACAAACCAAAGAATATGTAAATTCAATTGCTAACCAAGTGCTAGTGTGCCAGTTGCTATAACTACTCTTAAATGTTTGCGTCGAAACAAGATCTCAACAAGTTGAAGATATTTTTTTGAAAGGCCACTGTGATGAACTCCTATGCCTTCATTAAATAAAATTATAAAATTTTGTTAATATAATGACTAAATAATATAGTGAAATATATATGTAAATTATTTTTCTATTTAAATTTAAATAAAATTGTCTGACAATAATAAAGATACCTCTTTCTAGTGCTCTTAATAATTTTCCCATTAAATCTCCTATTGGTTTATTTTTTGTTTTTGATCGAATTAAATCTTTAAGTTCTTGTGATGATAAACGATTATCATCTAGAAATGAAAATTTAGGATCCATTGCTTCCCAGTCAAAGATAATTTGCGTTTCATCAACACCAACATCAACATCATCATTTTCCTTTGATTTTTTATCACGATTCTTTTTGTTTGCCTTATCAAGTACTTTTTTTTGTGCAATAGCGGCTTTCTTTTTAATTTGATATTCAGTGTCATTTTCTCTTTTAGACTTCTCTGCTCGTTCTAATTGATCTAAAACAGAAAGTGCTAGATCATTACAGCCCCTTCGATCAAAATGAAATAAAATGGCAGGTAATTTTTCTTGTGCCGACAATTCAAACAATAATTGAATAATGGTATTTTTAATAAACAGATCGCTATAAGGATCAATAGAACATTCTCTTTGTTTGTTTGTTTCATGATCAACAATAATTTTTGCTTTTGCTGTTTCTTCTAACACTTTAAATTTTTCCCTGATATCTTTACTAAGATCAGATACAATATTTTTAATCAGTTGTTTCTTGGATTTATCTTTCGCCCAAGATTCAAATATTTCTTTAAGCTCTTTTTCATATTTATCTGCGTCATCCTTAACAATATATCCTATTTTTGTAAAATATTCATCAGGATCCAATTTCTTCAAATCATCAGGTACATCATCACCAACTCTATTTTTTATTGCATCCCAAAGTTCTATACATTGTGATGGAATAAGCCTTAGATCCCTGGGAAGCCCATTTTCTGCAACAAGCTCTGTAGGCATTTGGAAAAAAGGGTGAATAGGAAATATGCTGTTTTGTTGTGATGATTTATCCGATTTAGTTATGTAATCAGTTAAAGGATTTAAAGGAAATTTTGGAATATATACATATTGTTTTAAATCTGAAAATCTCTTTGTTGTTATAATTAAATGCATTTTATAACCACGCTTTTCTTGCGCTTTAGCAATCCAATTCTTAAAATCCCTCGGGTTTCCAATTGTGGCCGATAAAGCCAATATTGGACATTGAGATAATAGTAAAAGATGTTCCCAAACACTGCCGCCATCCATTTCACCAATACAGTGAACTTCATCAAATATAATTCTACGAATTCTTTTGACCCAACCGTCATCTTTTGATGGTGATAAAAGTAAGATTTCCAATATTTGTGGCACAGTAATTAAAATCTGGCATTTATCATGGTTGTGTCGATAATCTCTACAAATGATTTCATAAAGGTTAAATAATTTATTAATATACAAAAAATGAAACGCAATATATAATAGTAAATTGCAAACCTGGTGTAAATTCCCCACACACTTCGGTCACCATGAGCGTAATCCTTTGTAAATCGTCCGTACACTTCTGCAGCAATTTGATTAACCAGCGCTTTTGTAGGTGCAACATATATTAATAGACCTGTTAAAGATTTTGCGGTAAAAAATTACCATTACATGTCAAAGATTATAAATCACACACATAATGCTAAATAATTTTCACTGACCATCATCATCATTTCTAAGCACTTTTTCCATAGCATAAAAAGATATGAAGGTTTTCCCCGATGAAGTGGGACAACATACCAGTGCTGACTCATTTCTGTCAATTACATCTAACACTTCACATTGCCACCCATCTAAATGATGATTGAATAAAAATTTATATTTAAGCTTTATGGTGATTCAGATTCAACATGAATATTAATAATACCTGGCTTAAAATTTGGGACTCTCTTGTCATCTTTTGAATTTGTGTTTCGATCCATTAAATGACCGGCGTAAATCATTTGAAATCGTGCGTCGGTTGTGTTAACACTTAAATCAATAGAAGAATCAGGAATAGTAAACTCTAAAGGTGGTATTTTAATTGATTCGGAACCAGAAGATGAAGTCTCTTTCTGCTTTTGTTTTCCCTTTTTGTTTTTATTATTCTTTTCATTTTTCTTAACTGTGATTGTATTTTCAATATTACACATCTTTCCTAACTTAAGAGCCGAATCATGTAATCCAAGTCTATTTAAAATTTCTATCAATCTTTCTTTTCTCTCTTCATTTTCACTCAATATGAATGTAAAATTTTGAGCAATGAAAAATATTTGACGAAATATGTTTACAGGAAATTTTGACCAATATTCTTTTTTATGATGGCTTTTGGTATAATATTTACAATATTCTGTCCATAAATCAAGCAAAACTTTTAACTTATAAAAATGTACACGTAATAATGAAATAGGGTGCTGGATCTTATCTTTTTTCAAAATCATATTATCCAAAGATTCCAATATTTTATCATTCATCATACCTTTTGATTCTTTTATAACTTTATCAAGGATATTTTCAGAAATCTCAAAGTTTTCAATCATTTTTTTTTTGTTTATATCTTCTATCAACTCTTTTGCTTTATTAGATTGTTTATACTCTTTTCCCGAATTTTTTTTGATTATTTTTATACTATAAAAACCTTGAGTCCCGTTTAAGGATAAGGCATATTTATTCATGAAACTTACATATTTTTGGTAATCTCTTAAACTATCTTTAACAGGTTCTGGAGCATCTATTAATCTTTTTTTATGCCAATGATAAATATCGTGAAATGGTATATTTCCAATATTTCCATAATGCCCATGATCTATCTCTAAACTCGAATTTTCGGAAAGATTCAATTGCATATTACCTAAATATTTTTCGAAAAATGGAAAATTAAATGGAAGTAAAGTTGTTGTTTGTTCATGAACATTTGTTGCGTTCGATGTCACTATCGTTAAATATTCTTTATCATTTAAAAGGTGATTTTTATCATTTGAAAAATCGTATCCTTTCCTCATACACAAATCCATTATCAATCTCCACGCAACATCGAAATCATTTTTAATTTCCTGGGGAAAGCTAAATTTTCCATTGTTTTGTAATCTTATCAAAGATGCAAATATTATACCATCGATAAAGTCTCCAAGATTACTTCTTAAATCGGCTATACTATTGGTTATTTCTTTAAAACCATCACTCAATAAAGCTTTTGCAGAGAATTTATAAAACTCCTTCATGAATCTATTTTCTTCTGATTCATCATCAAAAGGCGGCGGTGGTGGCGCTGCCCTGTATTTTAATGGAAGATAATCCAAGATGAAAATATGTAATAAAAATAATCTTGCAAGTTGAATGTATTTGGGTCTTTTGCTTGTACTTAAAACTCCAACTAGCGAAAGAATCACGAGCACCATTCTCTTTCCTCCATCATGAAAAATCTTTTCCGTTTCTTTTGATAATAATAAATCATCCAACAACGGAAATTCAAAAGATAAAACGGATCCTTTCATCCAACTATTCTTTTCATCAAACATTTTAATAGATGCTTCGCATACCTCTACTATTACTTGAATTGTCTGCTCAATCTTGGCGTTAATTTTTATGTTTCCTCCACGATCGGCAACAAAAGCACTTGCACGTGAATCTCTAAATTCCATTCCGGTTAATAGAGCAATCGATAGATCATGATGAAGTGAATGAAACAATAAACATTTCCAAATTATGGTAAGAGATAATGACTTTTCAGTAGCGATGTTAGTGAGAGAAGAAATATCTTTTTTACTTTCATTATCACCATCTTCATCATCATCATCATCATCATCATCATGCATCATCAAATTTTCTGTTGTGCCATCACCACAAAGAATAAACAACGGTTGTCTGTCGTTTATATAATCCCTCCAATCTTCGTCCCACCAATTATCAAATTTAAATATTGGAATATTAACATTTGCCTTATATGATTTTAGATGATCAATTATAATTTCTCTTGCCAAAAGTAATTTTGGATTATTATTCCAAATACATTTGTGTTGATCAAAAAATATAATATGAAAAACACATTCGCGATCTTTCAGCTGCTTTAGAAAAGATTCAACTAAGAATGTTAGGGCTAAAAACTGACCGCCGCTAAATTCTTTACCAAAATTAAGAAGATTTGTTTTTGGATCATATAAAATTTTAAATAGAAGACTATCACCTTCTAACACAAACAACTCACTACCTGTTTATTATACAAAAAAATTTTTTAATTTAATCAAATCAGGTATCATAATTCACATAAAAACGATTTTCTTCGAGTACCTCCGTAATCAGAAACAATATCAATGTATCGACTGTGAAGATTACTATACCATTCATTTAACCATTTCTTAACTTTCTTAACCTTTCCCATCAGAAAATTGGGTTTATAAAGAAATGTAAGGATAAAAAGAATCACATAATGATTCAATTTATACCCTCCAAGTAACCTTCCACAGGATTTACTTTTTCGGTTTTCAATGGTCTATTGTGACATGATAATAAATAACAATGAATAACAACTATATACAATATAAAATTTTCGAATATCTATCACATGGATTATTATAATTTTTGTCCAATAAAATTATCGAATTTCGACCCCAAAACTGTGTAAACCAAGATTAATATTAATATTAATGAATGAATTTCAGGTTTCTCAAACATAATTGTTCTGACCTTTTCCCTGACTCCCTGACTAACTATCCTCCTAAAGTATCGCCAAATTCAAACGCATTTACCTATTTTCCCTAGTATTAGTGAGCATAAACATGTACCTAGATTTTTGTAATGATTCAACTTTCATTTAGGAGTGTCGCGTAGCTTCAACGCGGATTCAGCTGATAGCATTTTAGAATTATTGTTTAAGAAAAATGTCCAAAGGGTATTGCAATCAGTCGTTTTTATGAAGTCTACTACTATAGTTTACGTTACCGTGGTCTTGTGATCGAAATTTTAATAAATGCGTTTATTTTGTAAATTATAAATATTTTTTATTTTTTATTTATTTTATTTATTTTATTTATTGGTGACATAACTGGGTGCAACTAGGAAAGTATAAACGATGCCTTCCTTGGAAACACCATGCAACTTTATATTTAGTCTACTTTTACGTTCATTAGCTTTTCTACCTGACACAATAATGTCACACAAATCATCGACTAATATGCGATTCAAATTAAAAAAATTGTGTCTTAACTTGTGTATATTAACGTCCAATTGGGTTGTATCAATCAAATCAATATTTAACAATTTTCCTTCCAAATATAAATCACTACTAGTATGTCGACCCAAAGATTTTTCTTTGGACATGAATTCGCGTACACGTAACGCAAAATCTCGTCTATTTGTGTAAACAGTTATATGGTTACAATACTTGGAAATCTGTTGATAATCAACATTGACGAATTGTAATAATGACGTATCAGGATTTAACAACGTGATACTTGATAATTTCATCTTTTTTGTCGTTATTGTTGATGGTGATGGCGTTTGTTGAGCATCACTTGATAAAGATATTGCCTGACTTTCTACATCCATTGAAATTGATTTTTCTTTAAATGTATTTGAGGTATTGCCACTACTTCTTTTACATCTTATTTGAAAAATTTCATCAAATGCTTTCACATAGTTTAGTAAAAGTTTACATCCCATCGAATGACCTAATATGTGTACAGCAGAAAATCCTGAATCACGAAGATCTAATAAAAATGTTTTAAAGTCTTTAAAAGAAAAATTAGAAATGTATATATGTATATCTACCATATGAGAAAGTGTGTGATTTAATATACTTCTATTTACCATTAACCACTTCTTCAATTAGTCCTTGTTTTTGTGCTTCCCAATACCAAAAGGAATTTGAACCAGAAGGACTAAATACGAATGGCTTTATGTAATTGGGAAAATCTGCTAAAGCAAGAAATTGGCCGAATGTTTCCGTGGCAAATTTTGGTGGACAATTAAAACCATGAATAAATATTATGCATTCCTAATCAACATTATTTTTAAACTGATAAGTTTATATTAATTGATTAATTAATTAAACGTGTCTATATAACAATCTTTTTTACCTGTATGACATTGTGAGATACATGTTGATTTATTGGTGACGATGAAAATGGCTTACAAATATCCAATGGTTTCCAACCATCAATATTTATCGTGTATTCAATGCTCGACGTTGATGATGATGATGAACAATCTAAAGCATTATTTTTTTTTGGTACCTTCCTAATTATTATTTCATCTCTGGAAGTTAATTCATTTGAAGGAGTATATCCAATAATATTGAAGAAACCTTTATCTTCAAGCCTTATCAAAACTGAAGAATGTGATGACCCACCAACGTCAGAACCAGTGCACATTGCATCAGAAAAGGTGAACAAATCCTTTAGGCAATTCTCTATCGTGTTTTTACGAGATTCAAGATCGCTTTCAACAGAAGCGCGTGACTTTGGAGGATTAATTAAAGTGGCACGAGGCAGTTGTTTCAAATATTTTCCTGATACAGAACATTCAACCGACGATACGACATAATCTAAACCGGCTTGATATGGTTTTGGATAAAACCGCCATTCATCCCAAAATATATTCCTTTTTTTAACAAGGCCCACTCTAACTGAATGAAATGCGTCGCCAGTTCCAGATCCTCTTGATTGAAATGGACCAATTGGAACACCATGTTCCCAAATACCTACTAAACATTCACCATCAAACGAATCATCAACCCATTCACCACATCCATGTGGTTGACCATCATCATCCACTTCTCCAACATAAGTGACAACACCATGTCTAAACAAAAGACTATAGCTTTCCCAAGCAAAATACCTAAAACATCCAACATTTGTGCCTTCTAGATCCTTAATATCAGCACTTTTAACCCTCCACCACCATATAGTGTCCAGCCAATTAGCATCCTTTATGATCTTTGGATAAACAAATCTAATTATAATCCAAGTCAATAATGTCAATGATTCAACAAATGCTAAAACAATCAATATAATTCGTGTTTCAACAGTTGACGCAAATCCTGTACCGACATTATTGATAAGTGAACCACGATTCATAATCAAAAGAAATATAGTTGCAATTGCTAACCTACATACAATAACAATTATTGTATATTATGATTATTTAAGATCAATGGCGCACTGAATAATATTTCAATGTGAAAAAGAATATATTTACGTACCAATAAAAACACCATCGAATTACCTCTGATATCTAATCACCGTTTAAGAAAAGAGTGGAAATTAATAATTTTTTATAATAATGAATGATTTTTAAATTGATCAATTTAATTTTTTTTTTAACTTCAACAAACCTTATAATAAACATACATCACTACAGTAAATAATATAGTAAAAGTCATGAATTCTGGCCACCTTTGCCAAGTACTTACGTTTTCTAACTTTCCACCAATTCCAGCACCCATTAACGATAAGAATACAAACATGAACATTATAAACCAAAAAACTCTTGTTAAAGATCTTCTCCTGTATCTTCCTCTAACTTGTCTTTCTGCTTTTCTAGACGCCATTATACGAAAAGCTTTACTAATTTCTTTTGGTGTTAATATTCGGATTGGTTTTCTCTTGTTATTTATTCCCAATTCATCAATTTCAATATTGTTAGAATTTGACATTTTATTTTTTATTTTCGTGTAGTGTAGTGTTACAATTGTATTTACATAATAAAAAATAGATTAAAAAAATTTTTTTTCAAAAATTCTAATAGTACATAACATATTATTATCATTAATAAATTATTACACTAAAATTAGGCCAAGTTCAATTCATTTTTATAATAATGGTGACTAATATCTTCTTCAACTACTGTTTCGTCTCCAGCGTATAATATAGATCCATCATCTTCATTATCAGTTTCAAACGCACTTTCAACATCTCCTTTCTCCAAGAATCTTTTAGCAGCGGCTTTTTCAACCACTTTATTCATTTTATTATAAATAATATAAGTTGCGACAAAAAGGAATAATATCCCAACTCCAAGTGAAACATAATTGACTATTCTTGACGTTGGATCCATTTCGTCGGCAAGATTATGAAGTCTTGACCCAATAAAAATATGAATTAATATCTTTGGAAGCGTAATTGCTGTTACTATAAAAAATTTAGTAAATGAGACTGATTGAACTGCTGCAAAGAATGCATTTGAATATGTGAATGGGAATGGACTAAGTCTTATTAAGAATATGACCTGGATAGATTTAATTATAATAAGTAATTTAACATAGTACAATTATTTTATATGATACGTGATTAAACTTATAATTACCCAAAATCCACCTTCCTCAATTGCTAAAGATAGTTTATAAAAATTTCCTTGTTTCTCTGCCATTTTTGTTGCTCGCCCAAGACATAACAAACGACAAATACTAGACAAATTAAAATAATTGATTACTATTTAAATATAACCTATATAAACTTGATCGAAAGGTAAAAGACAAATGATAGAGTTAATTACAAAAAACTTAGACTTGCTCCTATTAAAGCTGCAGGATATACAGGAAGAAATCCCATTGGAAAACCATATGCAAAACCACTTAATAATATAGTTGTGCTATAACTATATATTATTATTATTATTAATTATTATTAGTAATAGTGGTAGTAGTAGGAATATTATGTAATATTATCAATAATTAAATAACAATTTTTTACCCTGGAATTGGTGGAATACTAGACACTATAATACACGCTGAAATTATTAAATATCCATACTTAATTTCACGGAATTTAGCGGCAACCGGTGCAATCGCTAATAATTTAATTGACACGTATAATTAATACAACAAAATCAAAATCTTGATTACAAATAGAGAAATAAATAAATTAATAAATAAATTTACCTGATAAAATAGGCCTTTCGAAAAAAATGAATAAAAACACTAAGGCAATTAGTATTATGCTACCTGCAAGTATGCCATATTTCTTCTTAGGGGGTAATGCCTTAAAAAATTCAAAAGATTGTTTAAACATTTTAATTTTTTCAATTTTTATTTTAATAATTAATACTTTTAGGACATTTTTAAAATAGTGACTTATGTAGTACAAAATATACATGAAACTAGGTGAATATGTTTTTCTCGATCATTCAAAATCAATAAATTTCACATCAAAACTTTTATCTTCAGGTTGACAAACTGAGATATTTCCTTCGTGAAAATCTCCGTTAAGATTTTTCGTTTTACAAAGCAATTATTTAATAAAAAGGTTGAATTGGACTCGAATTTTCCTTTAGTAAAATGGTGGCGAAAGTCAATGAATTACTTGGAGGAAAATGTGTTGCTACCTCTATGATAAACAATTTCTGCTAATGAAACGAATCCTAGAAGGAAAAAAATAAAAGCAATCTAGATTGATGAGAAAAAGAAAAGCAAGATGGGAAAGAAAGAAAATGGTGATGATAAAGAAGATGAAGAAAGAACAATTAGTAATACACAATAAGTCCCGGTTTAACGGATATTTTTCCAGGAAACTTACTATTACCTGTTAACCGAGAGATCCGTAAAAGCAATACTTAACAAGGATTAAATTTTAAAAAAACTAAAATATACTAATTACTTCAATTCTTTAGATGATTAGCATGATTCCTATATTATCTCAACCATCATTCTTATTGTTCATTTTTTATTATTAGTAACATCCAATTTACTCAATTATTTCACTTTCAACTTTTAACATGTTTCATAAAAAAATATTCATTTTATTAGAATGTTTCACGTGATAAAATGGTCAAACAAAAGGGACTCTAATTAGTAATGATCAACGTCCTAAATTTGAATTAACCGTGGCTTATTATTTGGGTGGGGTTAGATACAGTTGAAAATTTTTTTGATAAGCCAGGATCTAACAACAAGGGCTAACCCTACACTGTTGCAGATCACAAAAACAACTATTTCATTGGCCAAAATTTTGTCGATCTTATTCCAAAAAATAAAACATTTGATGTGGGTTTGATTCATTTTGTCAACAATCACTTCACGAACAATTGTTTCGTTAACAAATGGTTCGAATTTAAGAAGTTGGAAGCAACCATTTCAAATAGTCTAATAAATTAAATCGTACTACTCGAAAATGTATTTAAAGGGTTGGTTTTCGACTTGGTTGAAAAATAACTCTCTTCCTAACTCTTCTCTTGACCATATCTCTCGATATAATCAAAATAACCTTAATATAACGAATGTCAA